AAAAGTTAATAAGCCTAGTTATTTATTATATTAAGGTTTATAAACTATAAAAATGTAAGTGCCGGTATCAGAATTAATGCCTCTAAGGTTATGTTGGACCATAAATAAAATTCTTTCCCTCTCAGAGTGTCTTTCTTGATTTTCTTATAGAAGCACTTTTGTTATTTTTCTTAATATATTTAGGCAAGTTGGTGTTTCTTCTTATTAAAGTGACGTTCATTTTTTCCATCAAAATATAAATAATTTTTTTTAAGTTACAAAGGTAACAAAGTCAGTCTATTGGCTGAATATTTGATTTTTTTAAATCTTTTTTATTGTTGTCTCCCCTTTATCTCCTGTTTCTTTCATCTTTTCTAATTGTTTCTGTTTTTTCTTTCCTTGTCTACTCACATTGTGGTGCCCATATAATCTGTAATACTCCCTGCATAATTATAATAAAGCTATTTATATGCATAAACCAAGCAGAGCACTATGATGATAGCCGTACTGCTCCACTTGTGAAAGTAAAGAAGAAAAAGAAATGTTGATTTTCAAAGTATTTCACTGAGTGCCCTATAAAGAGTTAAGCACAGTGGTGGAGGTCTGATGATCTGGGCTGAACCATGAACAGGATCGAACAGCAGCTGAGCTACTGAAGAATGGCTGGAAATGAAAGAACAGACGCGATCAAAGCTCAGACTGACTAAAATGCTGCTGAAGAGCCTTAAAAGAGCAGAGCAGAGACAAATGTCTGCAGATATCTAAGATGTTGGGGCAGAACAATGTGAGACAGGCAGCCTGGAGCTGCTAGTATGGATTCTAGCTTCTTCGGTCAGATTGAAACTCACCGCTCAGAGGTTTGGTCAGGATGTTTATGGCGGAGAGGATCTCGGAGGTCATCTCAGACCTCCACCTTCATCCCACCACCACGGCAACTCTCACCTGGGGACTCTTTCAAATAGAAACCCCCTCTTCTCCACGTTGTATCCGCTAAAAGTAAGCATATGGTTGCAGAAACTGACGTAGACGTCTGACGTCATCGCGCACTGCCTTGTACCGCCCCGATGAGACGCAGAGCCGATCAGATAGTCCTGTCAAAAGCATTAATGACGATGGGCAGTATGGCAAGCAGTTCCAGCGCAATGGCGGCGCTCAGAGATTCTAAAGTTCTGGGGAAGTTAGCCGCTCTCGGTAGCATTCAGTCCCTGTACTCACCATAGACACATGTAAGAGTAAACCCCGCATTTACTGTCGCGGCGCAGAAATTATGGGCGCCATCTTGGGGAGGTCGACCTGCTTACCAAAAGAAGGAGAAGAAGTAAAGCAGTCAAAAGTTAGCAATATTTATGGTTATTTAGTGTATTTTAAGAGAAAAATTAGGGGATTAACTTTTTCCAAGTAATTTTTTCACCATGTCATTTATTTATAAAAATCTTACTCTGTGAAATAAATATTTAGTTTGGAGCTAAAAAAGTATTTTATAAATTGAATATCTAATTTACAAACTTATTATTTAGTTTTGAGCTAAATATTTAGTTTATTAAATTAATATTTAATGTGGTTCTAAATATTTATTCAAAAAATTAAATATTCAGTTTGGAGCTAAATATTTATTTAAAAAACTAAATATATATTTTACCAATTAATATTTAGTTTTGAGCTTAATATTTAGTTTGTTAAATAACTATTTAATCGGGATCTAAAATTTTTTTAGCAAACTAAATATTTAATTTTGAGCTAAATATTTATTTAACAGACCAAATATTTTATTTGCAAACTAAATATTTAGCTCCAAACTAAATATTTATTTTACAAAAGAAGATTTTGTTATCATCACCTGTTCTTAATTAAAGCAGGTTGTGTACATATATAGCTACTGGTTTTACTGGGAATAAATCTATCTGTGGAGATGGAGAGATTTAATTGAGAGACATTACAGTTTTTTTCAGTTGCTAAAAAGCGCTTACGCATGCTTCAGATATTTTTTTTAAACTCTTAACAAAGACTCACACCTAAAAAACACAACTGGCCAAATGGATCATTTTCTTCTCAGAAACACATTTTGTTAAATATATCCTAAGTCCTCATTTCAAAACAGAACACATTTAGCTCTGTACACACTATCTTTTTTTAAATTATTCCGTCAAAGAATGACATTTGTTTTCACTTCACAAAGTACATGCAGTCAATCTAAGTACACCAGGTTTCAAAATACTGGTTGTTGTTGACATTAGAAAAACTAAATTTATGTTTCAGTTTTACAGGTTTTTGCATGCAAAACATGCATTCCACCATTTTTACACAAAAATTATAGGTTGGTAACTGTATATCCACATATACAATACTGTTCACATTCAAAAGACTTCCGGTAAAAAGCAAAATTGTTTTTTTTCTCTTTACAGATTACTGCAGGAGGTACAGAAGAAACACGGTTTGATAGAACAGAAAAAGTTTTACAGTATTTCTTACAGTGAAAAAAATATCCACAAACGACACACTGAACGAAAAAACAACAGCAACAAGTCCAGATAAAAATTGGGGGAACTAAAAAAAATAAAAAGCACAACAATGCGTTATCCAATTTCTGCGATCTTCAGGTAAGGCCACATGTTTTTGTCAACATCACATCTGATATTATCCAAGGTAATGCACCTGGGATAAAACAGCTGTCCAGGGTGAACCCGCCTCTCGCCCGTAGACAGCTGGAGATCGGCACCAGCATCCCTCGTGACCCCACTTGGGATTACAGTTTTTTAAAATCGCTATGACACAGTTTTCAATACA